AATCTTTACGCATATACATCCAACTTCTTAGCTCGTATATAGACATCTTGAAAATAAACTCAAAATACTATCTCTTTTTATTGATTAGACAATTGTGTCACGATCTAGCCACGTGAATGGAGTAAATTAACCTTATAATAATATTATTACTTCTTTTTTTCAAAGTAATATAAGTCTTAATTCGGGTTTCCAGCAATGGATAACCCAATATATAAGGATTTACAACACTATACTAAAATTTAAGAAACCTACAATGGGTCTCAAAGATGAAGATGCTCTTATGTTTGAATGATGATGTGTTGTGATTGAAAGAAGGAATGAAGATCTATTTATAGGAAAATTCTGGGCTTTAAAACGCTTTTACGACGACATTTTACGACGAATTTACATTCAAAAATAATATTACGACGAGTTTACGACGATTATGCGATAAAATCTATCCCCTGCAATTGTTAGGTAAACATGTTTAAAATATTTTCCACCTAACTTCTTTTCGACGTAAAATCGTCGTAATATGTACATCGAAATGCAGTCGTCGTATATTTGTCGTAATGTTACATCGAATTTACGATGATTTTACATTTACTAGCAAATCTCTTGTTATCGATGTATAATCGTCGTAATTCGTCGTAAATTGTACGTCGAGTTTACGACGATTTTTTTATACGACGGTGTTACGACGGTTTTAAAATTAGACGTAAGATCATCGTAAAATCGTTGTAAACTTGCGACAATTTGAAAACCGTCGTAATGAACCGTTGGAAAACGATTGTTTTCTTGTAGTGTTTTAAGTCAAACTGTTCCAATTCATATATGTTCAATCGGACGACGTACTAATTTTCAATTTTTTAATTAGGCCATTTATATATTGTTAGATTGTGATGGAACCTATTAGAAGAAACAAAATAGTAAAGATTGCTGAATTTCTTTTAATTATAGATCTTAATTAATTTATAGGCTGTTGTGAAAGAGCCATTTGACTTCCTAAACACCGTATTTTGAAACATCATGTGACAATAATTTGACTGACTTAAACTGGTAACTTAGTAATATATAAAAAGGATTTGGAGTTTGGTGTGATTAACATAGGAAAGTAAAAACAAAAATCACTTAAGAAGGAGAGAGATAGAGAATAGGGCAAATAAATGAGGAGATGCATCAACCAACGTCAACGTCAACTCTCTCTCTCTCTAGTGCAATAATACAATTTGCGTGTCACTTTCAAACCCTAAATTAAGCCTGCAATTTTACCTTTCTCTTTAATTTTCCTCCAAAGGAATCTTCAAATCTTGAGAGTATACTTGCGTGCCAAATATTAAATTATGTATATGATCAAAAGTTACATGATACATGCATATCGTATGGTTATCTCAACTTTTAAATTTATTTTTTTGTTTGAGTATGTTCTCACTTTCTTGAAAGAGTTATAGATTATCCGTATATTTACGTGCAGTTATGTATATGTATGAAGGTTTGTATAGTAAAATCATAGGTTAGTAATATAAATCACATGTCTAATTTAAACATTGATAAACAATGAAATGATGAATGGTGCATATTTTTATGTGGATTTATCATTTATGGTAGGATTCTAATCATATCTATATTCTCAATTTTTTTTCTTCGTTGGCCGCCGTTTTTAATGGCCAAAAAGGTTTAATTTTCATAAAATTTGTACTATCCTTTGTTAATCTGATTTTTTTTTATCAAATTGAGTTTAGTAAGTTTAGTTTTTCCCTATTCGTATATAATGTATAAATATCGCAATATTTTTACATTCTTTTATGTATGAATATTTTCTTGAAAGATATTGATGAAAAATACTAGATTTAATATTAAAATGAATTGAAATGCAAACATGAGATTTTCTAGGTGTACAGTAATTGTTTGAACCAGATTTAAAGAAAGAAAAATCTAATTTATACTATATGAAACAATAAAAAGTAACAAAAATACATAAGATACTATAACTTCAAGTCTCATGATATTTAATTTTAGTTCTTACATATGCATGTAGTCATATATATATTTGACAAAAGTAAACATATTTTTTTTTTTTTTTTGCTAGGAATTTGAATCTCATTTAGAAATGAAAAGAGTTTGTAAAATTTACAAAAAGCTACACAACCTAGGAAACCACCTTGCCAAAAAAGGATAAAAAACAAAGAGGAACCTAAACAAACTACGAGTTAAGAGATCTGGGAGGATTACTCATATGAAAACCAAACTTGCATCAGGTCACGGAAAGCTTTACGACTCTTCCTGGCCAGAATGGAATCACGCACAAGTCGGTCAGTAGCCTTGAACAGGGTTTGAGGAGTGGAGGAGATGTTGTTATGAAGCCTGTTGTTTCTCTCGGTCCAAATGGAGTTGATAATGGCATGGGCAACTAGCCTGCGCAGCGTCCTTGGAGACACATTGTCTTTGATCCCGAGCCAGCACATGAAGGCGTTCCATGTGTGAAATGCGAAGGCGTTGTAGCCAAGCCGCTTTAGCGCTAAGTCCCAGAGATCTTCACTAAGCTCACATCTGAGAAGAAGGTGGTCTCTGTCTTCGAGGTGAACATTGCAGAGGCAGCAAGACGAAGGGATTTGGAGTCCCCAACTGACAAGGCGAGCTCTAGTAGGAAGACGGTCAAGATGAGCCACCCACATTGTGAAAGCATGCCTTGGGATTGCTCCCTTAAACCAGACAGAGTGGGTCCAATGCTGAACGGGAGCGCGCGGTCGAATGGAATCCCAGGTGAGCTTTGTGGAGAAATGAGAAAGCTCAGAGTCATTGACGAGCCAGAGATAAGAGTCTGAATCAGATGAGTGAGAGGGGAGATCAATGGAAGTAAGATGGATTTGCAGAGATTCAGCAGCAGACGAACGAGCTCCTCGGAGTTTCCATCCATTCAGGTCGCAAGCATCGGAGATTTTAGCATTGAGAGGGATGGCGAGTTCTCTTGGTCCACCAGCACCAAACAGAGAGATCAAGGGGCCAAGAGGAGTCCAGTGATCCATCCAGAAGCTCAATATGTTCCCATTTCCAACTCTTGCTCTTAAGAACCGAGCAGCAAGAGGGCGAAGAGAAAGAATAGCTTTCCATGTCCAAGATCCTTGTCTTTTCTCATCACAATTCCAGAAGTTTGCGCCTTTGATACGATAAGAATGAATCCATTTGGCCCAGAGGGAGCTGCTGTTGGCGAATAATAACCAGATAAGGCGGAGACAGAGAGCCTTGTTCCATAGCTGAAAGTGTCTTAATCCTAGACCACCTTCATCTTTGGGGAGACAGATAGCAGTCCAAGAGACTTCAGCGGTAGCCTTTTTATTTACATCCCCACCCCATAAGAAGCGTGAGCAGAGGGACTCAATTTTCTTCAAACAGCCTTTGGGCAAGATGAAAGCAGAAGACCAGAAATTCACAGTACCATAAATAACAGAGGAGATAAGTTGTCTTCTACCAGCAAAAGAGAGAGCCCGAGAAGACCATGATGAGAACCTGCTTGAAATCTTGTCCAAAAGAGGTCTATAATCACAAATACGCAGCTTCCGGTGCATCAGAGGGAGGCCTAAATACCGGATTGGCATTGAACCGAGGGTGAATCCAAGACAAATACAAAGTAAACATATTTGTACACAAGTACTTTGTAAATATACATACTATTTTTCATATGTACATATAAATCTTAGGAAAATCTTAAAAAGAGAGAGATAGTACAATGGGTTTGAAGTACCAAACTCATGCTAGCTAGTCTGCAGTTGCCAGCTTTGGTCAACAAGTCTTTTAGTTTCGATATGTATACTTGCGGGCCAAATTATATATTATTATATGATCAAAAGTTACATGATACATGTATGGTTTTCTTACCTCATATGGATGAAAATTGTTGTTTTCTCACCTTCACATGTTGAGTTTTATACCATTTAAAAAAAAAAAGCAAAAGAAAAAAGCAAAATGTCATCTGTGTATTTTAGATCGTTTGCTTGCCACTCGTAGTTTATAAAGGCAAGAAACTATTAACCCATTGTACTATCTCTCTTTTTTGAGATTTTCCTAAGATTTTTATGTATATATGAAAAATAGTATGTAATTTTACAATAATATTCTTTAATATAATATTTTAATACTTTTAGATATATTAATTTTCTTATGAAAGCCCTAAAATCACCAATCAAACTTATAATGAACAAAAAAATATTTTTGTTTCACATATACTTTAGTGAATTCAATCGGCCTTTTTTTAGAGCTTATGAACCTAATATTATAACTAAATTCTAAGAATCTATGGAAAAAACGAGTACCTTTGTCATTGAAAGCATTCATAATAATAATAATAAATATATATAGTGGAAAAGACTCAAATCCAAAACCCTCAATCTCAGGATGAATCAGCCAAAAAGACAAATCCAATCCAACAAGAGTTGGCCTTAGCATTTTATATTATTTTATTAAACGCCATTTTGTTTTTTTTTACTATATATAAAAAATAAGTTGAGCGACAACTAGACCACATTAATCGTAGTAGTGAAAGTTATAATTAATACATGATTAAATCTTCCGAAATCCCAAATCTTGCTCTTGCCGTGAAATAGGCCACGATATGAAATGAGACGGGTGTATCTAGCAAGAGGCTAAATCTCTCTAAATATTAGAAACAAAATAATCATGCATAAATAAATACTTTAGAGAATTTAGAAAAATTTTAGCTATAATTACTTTTGAACTTTTACTTTCTAGAATGTCAACTTAATTTTTTTTTTAAAAGTTTTCATTAATGTAAAATTCTATTCATGAACTTTTTCGAACTATTTCCAACTTGACAATTAGCATGCCAAAATTTTACATGAATTCCTTAGTTATTCATAACAGTTTTTTTTTTTTTTTTAATACATAGCAATGGCATTGGGAGCCGCAAACGCAATTCTCTTTCTCTGGACGTTGGAAGGTGAGCAAAGAAAGAAACGTCTACAAATAGACATATTGAGTGGGAAGCTTAGGGTTTTTGAAGAGAAAAGGATTTGGGTTTGTTTTTGGGATTCTAAAAAACTCTAAACTTTCTTCCTTCTTTTTTTTTTCTTTTGTCTCGTATTCTTTTTCTTATAAAGGACAGAGAGAGAGAGAGAGAAGAAAAAGAGAGAAAGAGAGAGAGAGAAGAAAGAGAGTTTCCGAAAGCTGAATTGAGTTGGGTGAAGCAATTCTCAGGTCTGTCTGTCATGTCTTTACTTCTTCTTCTCTTAAAGGAAAAACACTTCTTGATCTCATCAAGTTCCCATCTTTGTACACATCTCTTCATTCAAAAACTCTACATTTATATCTCATATATATGCGGATTTCAAACTTAATAATAATTCTTTCATCATGGGCTTTTTTTTGTTCTTGACCTTTGCCTTCGCTTCACATACCTAATTATTAAAGTTATTGAGAAAAAAATCTTTATATTTTGTTTCACTTCTTCTGTTTGATGCTTTTCCCAAGAAGAAGAGGAAAAAAAAAGAGAGATCATAAGCGTTTTTTTTTTTTGGTTATCAGATTATGATAAAGATTAGGTTATGTTTATATTTCAAGTTTTTCTTTTCACATGTATATCTCTACAAGATTCTATTTCTTTTTCTTGTCAGCTAAAGTGAAGTCTTTGGTCTAAAAATCTTCCAAATCTGCTGTTTTTTTGTTTCATCTTCTTCTTGAAACTAAGCATAGTTTTCTCTCTCTCGCTCTCTGTCTGTCTGTCTCTCTCTTTTCTGTGTAATTATGTTTCTCTTCTGTACAAACTTCAGTTTCATGTGCATCAGTGCCTTCTCCATTCTTCTTCAATATCAGTTTGATTTGTTTTCTCTCTCCATATTTCTACCTTTTATTTGTTTTCTTCGGTGATTCTTTCTAAAATTTTTTTTTTCCTTGGACACAAACAAAAAAAACTTATGTCTTCATAGAACAGATTAAAATTCATTTTATAAAACATCTGTACACTATGTAATATTCCAGATCTAAGTCAAATTACATATGTTTGTTTGCAATTTGAGCCCGTGAAGCCTTTCAGATGTTTATTGAAGAGAGAGAGATAAAAAGAGTACAAGGGATGGGTATATATATATATATATATATATTATAATCTGTGTACCCAAAAATCATGTAATTAAATTCGTCAGATTTTACCTCTATGATGAGTAGTTTTTTTTTTTCTTTGGATAAAACCCCTGATGAGAATTCATATAGATGTATTTTTTAGCAGTACATGAGATCTTTGGAAACATATTTAAGAAGAATCACATGTAATATGTATGATCATCTTGCATAGTATAATGTTTTTATGCATATCTATATAGTGAAAAGATATGACCAAATTCTTAATCCCTAAGTTTCAGCTATACATCAGATCAAATTGATTCTTGTTTGTCCTTGAAATCAATCAAGAACATCCTTAGTTTGTTTTCCCAAGAAAGTTGGATACAAAAAGAAAAACTCGTTTATTTTTGTTTGTTTTTACAAACCCCTAAAATTGAGTTTGGTGAGAGTATTAAAATATTTTAATTCAAACCCTAGCTTTAGGGTTCTTTTTCTAGTATACTCATTTCTATCTTTTTACAGTATGTCAATCATTTTGTGTGGTTGTTATACAGTATTTATCTTATCAATAACGTCCAATTTTGAACAAATTTTAGTGTCGTTTTATATAGTAACTTATTTACAACCTTGTTTGATGTTTATATAATGAAGGATGGGAAGAGGAAAGATAGAGATCAAGAGGATAGAGAATTCGACAAATCGACAAGTGACCTTCTGCAAAAGAAGAAATGGACTTCTGAAGAAAGCTTATGAGCTTTCAGTTCTCTGCGATGCAGAAGTTGCCCTCATTGTCTTCTCCACTCGTGGCCGTCTCTATGAATATGCCAACAACAAGTAAGTAATCTCAAAAAAAAAAGTAAGTAATCTCTTTGTTTATAGAAATTAATTACAAGCATAAGCACATTAGATTTATAAAAGCAGGGTTTTGGATTTGTATCAATTTCCTCGGTTTAGCAACAAAAAAGAATATGATTACTCTTAGTTAATCCTATTTTTTTGCTATTAGTATATGATGTAATTGAAATTGTTTGAACAAAAAAGAATATGATATATATATATATATATATACATATATATAAGTATTTGAAATGCAAAACATATGAAACTTTTTCTAGGAGTACAGTAACTGTTTGAACCAGATTTTTAAGATATAAAATCTAGAATATACTATATGAACCAATAAGAAATAACAGAAGTACATATGATATTTTAAATTTAAGGGTTTCATGAGATTTACTTCTAGTTATATTTACATATGCATACCAATATTCTGACAAAAGTAAACATATTTGTACACAAGTAATACATACTATTTGTTCATATATACATATAAATCTTGACAAAATCTTAAAAAGATAGAGGTAGTACAATGGGTTTGAAGTACCAAACTCATGCTAGCTAGCTTGCAGCTGTAGTTTTTTAGTCAACAAGTCTTTTTTTTTTTTTCGTTTGTCAAAGTTTTTCTTGGAACTTAACACAATTGTGCAGCGAGAGATGTGTAGTTAAATTTGTACTCTTCTTTCCTCTTTCATCTTAAGCAGATCAGATCTTTTTCTTCATGTCTTTTCTTTCCTTTTTAAGCTTTCTCATCTTATCAATTCGATTTCCTTTTTTTAAAAATCTTTAATTTAAGTCACTTCAACTACATTTTTTTTTACAGGACACAGTTATCATAATGATGTTTTTTTTTGTCTGTATATATTTTTTGTTTGCCAATTTTTATATGCAATATATATACTGTGATAACCTAGTTACTTAAGCTAACGCAGAAACCCATCAACTTTACCTGATTTAGATCCTTATACCAATGCAAACTTTTGAACATATCACTAAAAACCTCCATACTAGATATTTTCACTTAGAATCGGCTAGAAAGATTGCTTCTTTGTATTTACGTTGACGGCTGCGTTTGCGTTTGCATTTTCATGATACGAATATCACAATCACTATAACATGGAAACCACAAACAATCTTGGCCTTCTTCTTTAGACAATAACTTCTTCAGTTGTTATAGAGAAGTTGGATGGTTATTTTGTGACAGCATAAGATCAACCATTGAGAGGTACAAGAAAGCTTCCTCTGATGGCACCAACACTCACTCTGTACAAGAAATCAATGCCGCAGTTTAGTTTCTCTCCATCTCTTTAAACTTCATTAACATCATATCTAATCATATACATATACATGTGTTTACTGTGACGGTGCTTAAACTGTACAGTACTATCAACAAGAATCTGCAAAGCTGAGGCAACAGATCCAAACGATTCAGAATTCCAACAGGTTCTTACGACTTATGTATATATGTCTCTGGTGGAAGTATATATCGATATGTATTGATTGATTGTAACACATTTTTGGTAACATTGTAGGAATCTGATGGGAGACTCGCTGAGTTCCTTAAGTGTCAAGGAACTAAAACAGGTTGAGAATCGCCTTGAGAAAGCCATCTCCAGGATCAGGTCCAAGAAGGTATATACATAGCTACAACATCTTGTAAGACTCTTTATTGCATATACCACTTTACTTAATGTTCTAAATCTGATTCGTGTTCTTACGAGATACAGCATGAGTTGCTTCTAGCTGAAATCGAAAACTTGCAGAAAAGGGTAACCAAAGCTCTAATTTCTAGTTCAAATCAAATACTTTTTTTTTTCAAAACTTTCTTGTGAACATTTTGAGTATGGTATATTCTGCAGGAGATTGAGCTTGATAATGAGAGTATCTATCTCCGAACCAAGGTAAACACAGATATAATGTGTTTGCTAATTACACTGTCACATCAATGATCAATATAGCTAACTAATATCTTTTGATAACAGATAGCAGAAATTGAGAGGTTTCAACATCATCATCAAATGGTTAGTGGTACAGAGATCAACGCTATGGAGGCCTTAGCAGCTCGCAATTACTTTGCTCATAGCATCATAGCTAGTGGTTCTGGATCTGGAGCTGGCCATGGATGCTCTTACTCTGATCCGGACAAGAAAATTCATCTCGGATAATCTCTTGGCGAAAGAAAACAAAACGAGCTACAATAATGGCTTTATAAAGCTATCTGCATTCTGAAATCCTCTGCTTAGGATATATCTCTACGTAAAATATGTTTGTTGTTATTGTAATTCAAAGTACAATGAAGGTATGAATCCTTCAAGACTCATTGGTGTTTGTGTGATGATGAAGACATTACTCTTGTTTTTTATTGTTACATATTAAATCTATAATTACTATGGTATTTGATCTAATTAGTGATTGAAATGATCGTAGAAGCAGAGCATATAGACATATGATGCTTACAGAACAGAGCATTTTTTGTTGAGTTCGTTACGTAAAGAAGCAGTCTCTTTCTCAGCTTTGTTGAGTTGTTCTCTTAGCCTCCTGATCTCATCAGAAGATAGTTTCTGAATTTCTGACATCTTTTTCTCGGTTTCCTCTCTTGCTACTTGTGCTTTAGCTAATTGCTCCTTCACATCCTTCATCGATTCCTTCAGCTGATTAGAGATCTAACCATATACAACAAAACCAAAATATGATGATTATGTACATTCATAAACACATTACATATTATAACCAATGCATGAATCGAAAAATACCTTTTCTTTTATTCCCTCTAGCATTTCGTTGTAAGATTTCTCTACTTCTTTCTTCACTTGGGATATCTCATGTTTTGAAGACCGACCCTTCATTTCTTCAATCTGCTTCTGCTTTTCCTCGAACGTCTCCTCGTTCTCCTGTAAAGGAGACCAAAATGTAACTCAGATATCAACACAAAACGAAATGTGAAATCTTGTTTTTTGTTACAAAAATCTATCTTTTCACCTTTAGCTCAAGTAATATGTCAGCCATAAAAGATTTTCCATTGTTCTTCTTTGAGACTTGCTCAACAAGGTTGAGAAGATCCTGGACTTGCTTGTCGTTCTTGCTTTTAGAGATTTTACGCCTATTGTCAAACAACACCTTACGGCCATCACATTCCATGAGAATTTCCTAGAAGCAATTATAAGATGCAAGAGATTAATTCTTAGTTTTACTATAATATGTTAAAATCGCCCTTGCGAAAAGGTTCTATATTAAACCTACTTGAAACTCTGGACAATCCTCTAAATACTCATCCAGACTCCCTCCATCATCAAACTCGTCTCCATTGGTGAAAACAACAATCATGTAATCAACAATATCATTCCCAAAAAGGATCTTTAGTGTGCGAAGCGTTAACTGTTCCTCTTCTGTTAACCGATTCCTCACAGAGAAAACAAGAAGCACTGCATCTATACCGTCTCTAGCCAGACGTAAGCATCTAACGATTTCTCTGATTGTAAAGTCTTGCGTCGAGGAAGCAGTAAACAGACCTGAAAAGCACAATTGATTAATCTCAATGCATGTTTTAAGAAAATGTATGATTATATTTGATGATAGATTCATATATAATTATCTCACCAGGAGTATCTATAACATTGACTTTCTGACCATTTGGTAGATTGGATTGATGTAGCTCACACTTTTTGGTAATGGATCTTCCTCCTGGTCTTGACCGGAACTTAGTTTCTCCTAGGATGCTATTTCCAGTTGCACTTTTACCATTCCCCGTTCGACCAAGCAGGACTAGGGTTCTTTCAGGTTTCCAATCAACGTCCACATATACTTCACTTGAATCACAAGGCATCGCTTCCATTCTGTCAAGTTCCAAAAGACAAGTAGATGGTTCTTGAAATGAACAAAGAGAAAGTAGAAAAGAAACAAGAACTCAAGACAAACTCATTACTCTTCAACGTACCTGAAAAAAGCTCAATATAATTGTGTAGTTCAAGTGAGAAAGCAAGAAATTAATAGCTTGCACTTTATAGAGGCAAAACAGAATATTCATTAGCCAATTCGAGAAAGAAAGCAACATAAAAGAAAAGAGAAAGAAAAGAATAATGGTGAGAAGATCTCTAAAGTAAGAATATAAACTACAGAAGGAGTGAACAAGCAAAGAATCTGAGAGAAAGACAACAATCTTTACCATTTTGGTGGTCCAATCACACTGCTATACTCTCTTCTTTCTCTTTGTTTCCTTTTACATTGCCTGAAAGAAGAGCCCTGAAGCTGCCACTAAGTGACAAATTAGAACTGAAAATCTCATTTGAAAGATTAATGAAAATCTCATTTCTGAAAGATTGGGAACTCAAAATCTCATTTGAAAGATTAATTGGATTTGACAGATCTTTTTGTTAGGCAGGGTTTATAGCAAAAAGCAAGGAAACGAAAAAAGAAAAGAAGATAAGAGCAAGCAAACTGATCCAGATAGCAATAATACAATTAAGATTATCAGTCTAGTGTTATTATTCATAGAATTGGTCATTACCCCGAAGACTCGTGGGAAAGCATTTGTTGTTGCAGGATATTCCATTTTTATTTCACATAAGACTCATTGTGTGCCAACAGTAGGTACTCGTGAACAAGCTTATTTATGATAAGTTTTCTTTTTGTCTCTTATGAATTCGTTAGCAGATTTACTCTTTTTATAAAAAATTGATCAACCATTTTCCTTCCCCCAAGAAATTTGACTACCTCTTAACAAAACAAAAGAAATTTGTCCGCCGTCTTACAAAATTTATTCAGAAACAATGTTAATTCGAACACCGAATTTAATAAAAACAAACGCAAATATGAGATGGAATAACTGTTTTCACGAAATAAATCAGAATAGGAGTATGACTTAGGGCAAAATGATAGGATTGTCCTTGCTAGTTCCCTGTTTAACGAGACGTGCTTCATAAATTTGGACGAGAAGACGGGGATCCGTTTTCGCAAGCTCTCTGTATTTTTCTGTTCTGGTGACCATCTCCATATTTTTTAAGATCTTCGACAGTGCAGCATCGGCCAAATTCTTTGCATTGTACTGGTCGGCAAAGGCATAGTACATCAGAGAATTTTCTGGTTTTAGTTTGCTTACTAAAAACTTCTCACATTGACTTTTGAGGTAGTCAACTTGGTATTTCTCTGACATGATCAAAAGATCACATGCCATTTCCTCATCAGGTGTTGCTTTAGCAGTGTAGAGAAAGTTTACAAAAGTTTGAAGAACTTCATGAGATACTTCACCGATCTTGATAATACCGCGACGGCTCTCTTCCATCTCATTCTCAAACATGGCTTTGAAAATTGGTGAACGACTCATCTGACAGCAATAGTCACATTGTTAACAATAGTCACATTGTTATCTTTTTAAAAACAGCATTTAAAAGTAAGTTTTTATAGAGTGGAAAACACTCCATAAATCCCTCACAGCTCTCATTATCAATGATACAAATAAATGTGATCGACCCTAAGATATTCAAACCCTAAAAGGAATACACATGTAAAGACTACAATTTTACATCATGTTTTTAGAGCAAAGATGGAGATTGAATTTTAACAAAAGGGCCTAAAATCAATCAAGAAAGATATGTATGAAATGTGGAAGAAAGAAGATATTTAATGAAAAAAGAAGATATCAAGACAGATCATTATTAAGAACACAAAAAGCACAAAAAAAAAATTTAATGCTTATCTGACAATATTAGTACAAGTCTAGCAACTGAACTTAGTATTTTTCTGAACCTACATCCCTACTAATATCTCAAGGTTAATCAATGTTTTTTTGTCTAATTTTTTAATTATTTTTCCCATGATAATTCTTCTTCTTTTATACATTTCTTTTATATAAAAAACTAATAGCATTTTTTCAATTACAGCTTTGTGTAAAATTCTGTATATCAATCACAAAATAATTAATAAAAACTTTTATATTATTTTTTTTTTCAAATTTTTTTAATAATTTGTTTTTCTTAGATTTTTTTCCAAATTTATGTTACAAAAAAAATAAATGAGAAAACATTTTTTTGCCTATGGCATCCAACCTTTGGCACAGCTATGCAAACGCAGACACATATATTGAATATTCTAAAGAAATATGACAATCAAAGTTAAGATAACTCATCATAGAAACTAGAGGTCCAAACAATAGTTGAAATGTTAAAAAAAATAGGAAAAAAAATAGTGAACAAACCAGAATAGCTTTATGAGCTTGAATAGGACGAGCAACGGCCCCAGCATCGGATGCGATAAGAACAACATCACTGAAAGATTTAGAGGATAAGGCAAGGAAATCAGCGTCAGCTTTGAGGTCGTTGAGCTCCTTCTTGAGCCCTCTCTCAGTCTCAGCAATCACATCAGCGCACTTAATGCAGAAGCCGGCATCGTCAGGGACGCATATTTCCGAACAAGAGATGCAACGCTCCTCTGTGTCACTTACGGAATCGCTGTCGGAATCGCTGTCAGAATCGCTGTCAGAATCGCTGTCTGAGCCGCTGTGTGAGTGGCTGTTGGAATCGCTGTCTGACTCGCTGTCTGAGCCACTGTGTGAGTGGCTGTTGGAATCGCTGTCTGACTCGCTGTCTGAGCCGGTGCGTGAGTCGCTGTCTGAGCCGCTGTGTGAGTCGCTGTCGGAATCGCTGTCTGAGTCACTGGGGTAGGGGTGCTTTCTCTTCATCGTACAGACCGAACAACTTTTGTTTTTTTCTTTGCTAAAGTAAATTGAAAACAACTTTTTTTTTTTTTGTTTAATGTATAATGTATAACTTAGAAAAAAATCAGAAATGGTCCTTCTTTTTATAATCCCTTACATATTAGGTTAATTATTTGTTGACCATTATATTATATATATATTAATATATATGTTAGTTAAAAAAAAATATATATATATATATGTTAGTTTTTTTTTCTACCAAATGATATAATGATATAAAGATTTTATACTATATAGGTCAAATTACAATTCATTGAATATAATATGTCAAAAAACGTTACCATAAGCTATTCTTCCATTACACGATCCATATCAAGCTGTCATGCATGAACCAGCATCTAAACGTATTAATTAGTTATCTTATCAATTTGTTGACCTTATCGTTTGATAACAAGACCAATGGGTTTCACATTGCACCAGAATTTCCTGCAAACATACAATTCATTTCTAACTCAGATTTTTATATGAGACTATGCAAATCATCAGTTATACGTCTCAAGAACGGTAAAAAAAAAAAACACTGATTTTCATGAATTCTAGACACTCTTGAGCCAAACAATCCTCGAACGTCTGTTCGTTCTCTAGAGTTATGCACCTCGTAATTTATTACCTACGAATTCGAGTGTCACCCACAAATCAAATAAACCTGTAAAATCACCAGATTGACATCATACATCACAACAACTAAATTGTAGTCAATCTGACTTTGCTTAATTGTATTTGGTTAAACTAAACAACACACATCCATATATCAACTTCATCAATGATCTGCCTCTGCCCTCTGCCCATAACAACATAGTGACGTAATACAATTGTCCTTGGACAAAGTAAAAATATAAAGGTTAATTCATGCTTCGAAGAGTATCAATCAAATTGATGTTTTGTCCATCATCTTTCACATGTTCTGGTCACTCCTATACCCTAGTGAACTTGCTTTTTTGAGGTGAACGCCTTTCTTCCAAAGGATATCGTTCCCTATGGCACTCTTTCATTTTCCAGAACTACCGACCAGAACTACGGTTTTTGTAAGGTTTGATGATGAATCGAATTTGCAATCATTTGTCCATCATCCATCTTCATGAGTAAGGAAAAAAAATTGAATGAATTTACATCAAAAAAAGATTTTCATACAACAAAAACGGTTCAACATAACCAAAAGAATCAGAAATTTCAGACCTAAAACCTAAGTCATCAAGCAACCATTATTATTATTATTTTTTTTAAAATCCTTATACAACCCTAGGGTATTTTTTTAACCTTACAGAAATTTTGATGATGATCTTACGTAATCAGGGTACAACAATTTTAATAAAACAAGGCCGACCATAATCACTTAAAACAAGTAAGTTATATGATTTTCGTAGTCGACAAAACAATACGCTCTAAAGCAGTAACATCGTTACTTTGCTTGAGCGAGGAATCTGCACCGATACGAACAATTTTAGGTACTAATATATTACATCCACCGTGCGAAGGTTTATAAGGACTTAAGGCAAACTAAAAAAATAGGACCTTTTTCATTTAAAAAAAGATTTTCTAACAAAAAAATATAATATAATTTTAAAATCATATAAAATATTCAAAAATAAAATTTTAATCTAAAAAAACTAATTAAGACATAATCTTTCTTCCTTCTTTTTCAATAAACTTTTTCACCAAACTCTCATAATCGAGGTCCTTAACTAGTTTTTTTCTATAGATATGACAGATAGGCCATTCAATCTTTTTTGTGACATAGTTGATCGCAACTAAGACTTTATCAACTTCAACTTTGAAAAACTTCTTTCAGTCAAGGCAACTGAAACTTCTCCCAATAATTTTTTTTTCTCTTAGACTTTAGGGTTTTGGTCTTATTTTAGGATGTCATAAAGCCGATAATCTAAACCAATCTTAACCAATTTCTTAAAACTATTAGGAGAAGGTAATCTTAATCTATTTCCTATATCTATTCCTTTTTTTTCTCTTTTATAAACAAAAATAAGAAAACATCTTATGTAAAAAAAGACCTCATGCCAACCATAAACCACTTAACCACCTCTTAAGAAAATGGTGGCCCTGAAAAATTAACATATTTTGGGGGCTTGAGGCGAAAGCCTTTTTCACTACATGGTAAGCACGGATCTGATTACACCCTAGAGGATTAATGAGAGTGTAAGTATGATAAGCTTCCAAATTAGTTGATTCGAAAGCATGTTGTTTAGGTCTAAACTTTTACAATAATACACATCGATATTGTTTTATTGTAAAAAGAAAAAACAAATTCAACTACGAAAAGGATTAAAAAACTAAAGAGTAAAATACACAACAAGCAAGGTATGTAAGAGGCGATAACAAATATTCCTAAAGAAAGAACCTTGAAACTGCCACAATGATTGTCCAATAAGAATCTACCATTGGAGTGTTCTAAAAAGCTAACAGAAATCTCTGAGTTTCTTTTTTTTTTTTTTGCTTTCATCATCTTATCTGAGTTGCTGCTTTCTGAAATAGAGAAGGTCATATCTGCAACAAAACAATGTCCCCAACTCTCAATATGGTTTCTTCTTCCATTTAATTTCAAAACGTAAGAGACAAGCGAACGTGCACACTCCATTTTCTTTGTAATACAGAGAAGTTTTTCATCTCTTAAACTATACTACTATAGTAGTGTTTCCAGATTAATTCACTTTCTTTTTTTCTTCCCTCTTACACAATCAGCTGGAGTTATATTATAAACACTCACATGATCTGAAAAGAACATAGAATAACATCTCTCTTATTACTCATCTGAATATCAAAAGTAAAACATAAAATAAAATGGAAACAGAGATAGACTATGTTCTTTTTTTTTGGGCATGGGTGTCAAAGGGTAGAAAAAAGAAAGAAATGTAAACACGTACCCAACAATCTAAGGAGAAAGTCACTCAATTCTTCCAAAATAATAAATGGATATAAACACATGGATGTGTATAAAGTGATGGGATTTTATGTCTTTTGATCACAACATAAATCACAAAATGACACACTTTCCGGTCCCTTTTTCTTCGAGGTCCTTGGTCATTTTCTTGGCCTGCTCCAGTTCCTTCCTCAGCTTCTTAATCTCGTCACTTGATTGTCACTGGACTTCGTTTTCTTTTTTTTCTCCGATTTAAGTCTTGCTGCTTGCTCGTCGTTCAGCTGCTTCTCAAGCCTGTTAAGTGCCTCTCTCAGCTTAGTCTCCACCTAATCAAGGAACTCAAAAAGGAATGTTAACAAAATGATTCTGATGTGGACATCAGTCCCACTAGACGACTCACAGTGAGCTCAAGACCCAGAGACATTACATTTGGCCTAACCGAAGCTGAACCGGAGAAACCAAATGAGATCAATGGACATGTGAGTCTAGCCAAGGGTAAAGGAGAGACGAACTCCCTTGTAGAGCAAGCCAATAAAGAAGAGGAGATGACTGTTATTGACTTGTTCTCTCTAGACTCCTATCCAAAAGATCATACAAGCTTCCCGGCTAAACCATTGCCAGAGTTATTCAAATGCATAGCCGATAAGCAGTTAAGGCCCAAAAATCATGTCTTTGACTTCAACAAAGCACGTTCAAGCCCAGGAGATGTTATTACCCATCAGGAGACCCAATGGAGCATCCAAAACCAAGAGATGGAGTTGGATCGACCCAGATCCATCATTTAACCACAACGTCCTTAAATGGTCTAATACTCGGCCAAATAAGGAAACTCGTGTAACCAGACCAAGGGAGACGACCAAGCACGTGTTAGGAGACCCATCAGACCTCTCATGCACCCTCAAGATGAATCAAGACACTTTCCTGGCCCAAGAGATAGATTCAAACTTTGAAGAGGAACTTTCCATACTCGGAAATGTCAATCTTCCATCATCTTCTGTTGACAACTTTTGGAGACCAAATCTGAGCCATTCATCTTATGGAGACCATCTCAACCGTCCACAACCATCAGAGAATCTCTCAGCACATGAGCTGCCATAGACCACGTCCCTTTGACCCAAAGATCGAGTTCTTCACCATCAAAGTTCCATGATCCTTTTACTTGATACTTTGCTTAATCTTTGCTGTTTCTTTAATATTTTAATACCCTTGTATTAGATTTCTAGAACCTATATAAGCTTTATCTCATCCATCTATTGTACTCACCCTTGAATTAATAAAAAAAACCAGAAAGTTCTTTGTTTCAAAAACCTTGTGTTCTTGATTCGTTTTTGCGAGTTCTAGGTAGATTGTGGAATCAGTCTCTCTAGGTTTCGTGTTTTGAGACTAAACTCTTTGTGAGGAATAGCCCTTAGAGTTAGTTTCTGTTGATACATTTGTTTTAGTCCATAAAACAAGTGTATTGTCATCACAACCTTCTTCCATCCCTCCATCAAAGCTTTTAGACTTTGAATACTTGGTGTCCATAAGATTGTGTGATTCAATCTTATATCAGATTCCTTCACAAATCAGCTTACCTGGACACTAATTAATTACATTTTATGAGATACATGACTCTCAATCAAAAAATTAACAAAAGAACTTCAAAACACATTACCCTGTCCATCATTTGGCTGAGCTGGTTCTCTTCATGATACTTCTCTTTACTTTTCATCTTTTGAAACATCTCTTGGTCCATGAACCAGCTCTTCTTTCCAATGATATCACTATGATTTTTGATGTGTTGCATTTTTAACGCATTCTAACCTGATTTTTCGAATGTTTTTCGAGTCTTTTAGTCTTTTTTAGAGTCATTTCAGGTCAGAAAACGTTTCAGGATAGAGTTTGGATACTAGGAGCAAAAACGGCGAAAAGTGCAAAAAAAAAAAGATTGGAACGATCCGACCAGTTGAAACTATCCAGCCAGAAATTGCGAACATTTTCCAGCACGACCAATTCTGTATGGCACGATCGATCTAAGCTGGAACAACCATTCCATATATTTCAGCACGATCGTTCCACCTCCCCAAAGAAGAAGGAAATTTCGATTTTTCCTGTTTCGGCCCAAATTCTTCTGATTTCGGCTCTGGACGACTGCAGACCTATTTAAACCTATTTTTATAACTTTTCTAAACACAACTTTCTATTCTATTGAGACTTTTTGAGCTTTTGGCAATTTGTAAGATTAGGGAGATAAATTTATGACTCTACATCTCTGAGAAGATTTCTGAACCCTTTTGGATTTCTATTTTATTGATCATGAGTTCTTCTCTGTCTTTCTGTGTTTTCTCTGCATCTATGTCTGAGTCGTTCTCCAGTTAGGTTTTTAGGGTTTCAAGGGATTTTCATGAATCACTATATTGGATTTGTTAGATTAGGGAATCACATAGAGTTCTTCATCTATTGTTGAGTTTAAAGCTTAGACTAGATTGATCACCTAGTTTATGATCTTAGGATTAATCTAAACATGAAAGTGATTTAGATTTCCTGACAGAACTTAGATGAGCAAATCGTCCTTAGCCAACGAAAGCTGATGCTAAGGCGATTTGTGAGCTTATCAAACCAGAGCTTTAATTCATGTCTAGAACTTTACGGTCAAACGACAGTTTAGACACTTAGGTTATTAGACATAGTAGTTAGTGCCACGACAGTGGGTTAGCTAGACGTTTATGTTTGAGTTCGAGAACGGTTCTTAATTCATTCCCTATTCGATAATCTGTTTAGTGAGTCTTGTTTTCCTGCGAATTACCCGAAGACATAGCGTTTTTCTCATTGGAATCTACATCTCATTACTTTGCTTTTCTTAGTTACTAGAAGTCTTAAACCACAAAACAACCTGTCATTAGGCTTAGCTTTACTTTCTTTCTGCATTCTCGTAGCGTAGACTTGGTCCTTGTAGATTTCGATACCTAAAATACTATTTTGATTGCTGTGCTCTTGCAGTAGATTTTAGGATTATTCCTGAAGTGTTTCAAGAATTGGCGCTGTTGCCGGGGACCAATTGAGTGCCTACGAGTTTTGGACAAAAGTTCAGACTAAGTTTTTCTTTTTCTTTTGCTAATTTGTTTTATTTTTGTTTTCTTGTGTGTTTCAGGTTTATGACCAGAAGCCACGGTTCTGAAAATCTGTTGGATTTGAACAACGAGGAGCTAGCACAACTAGAACGTGAGAACAAACGAAGAAGGAGAAACATGGCTCAAAATCAAGATGATCTGAATCTCCAGGGCCTGTTTGATAATGATGGGAACCTCATAAACCCTCCTCCTCCTGCTCGTGATGTTCTCATTGATCCAAATGCTGCTGATGATCCTGCAGTCACGAGCTGCAGCTGAAGCTCAGAGGCAAGCTGAGGCTCAGAGGCAAGCTGAAGCTCAGAGGCAAGCTGAGGCTCAGAGGAAAGCCGCAGCAGATGCAGCTGGACATGTGCAACTTGGGAACAATGTTAACAGACAGGCACAATTCCAGAGGAATCAGAGGGAGCCTCAGCGCATACCTGTTGGGGCAATTGATTCTCCTCACCAGTTCTATAAGGATAGGTCACCAATTCGTCCACCACCTATTCACAGAACTTGGAGATCAAACCTCAAATCATCGCTCTTGTGGAAAGGCAACAGTTCTATGGGAAGGCTTCAGAAAATCCCATGGATTACATTAAGAGATTTGAAGAGATTTGCAGTACCACAAGCTCAAATGGAGTCCCTGCAGACTATCTGAAGTGCAAACTCTTCTCTTTCTCTTTGGCTGAACGAGCAGCTAGATGGTTGAAATCACTTGAATCTGGTTCTTTGACTTCTTGGGAAGCAATTAGGTCATCTTTCTTGGATCAGTTGTACACCAAGGCTAAGACAACATCACTCAGGATTAAGATCACTGAATTTCAACAGAATGGTGGTGAGTCTTTCAATGAAGCTTGTGAGAGATTCAGAGAGTATCTCAGAGAATGTCCTCATCATGGTTACTCAGATGAGCAGGTGCTGAACATCTTCTATGATGGAGTAGACTGGGAGGCAAAGAATTGTCTGAATGCTGCCAGCAATGGTAACTTCATGACAAAGACTAAGGAGGAGGCATATGAGCTTATTGAGAATCTCTCTGTTAGTTCCAGCCAGCGCAATCCTGAGTATGACAGATCGAGATGCATCAATAGCATTGAGTCTAGGAAGATAGACGAGCTGACTAACCAAGTCAACAACATAGCCTTGTTACTGAAGGGAAATCAAAAGGCTGTCAACTTTTGTGACAATGCTGGCGATGAGAGGTTGTATCAGAAATTTACTGAAGATGATTCAGAAAGACATCATGCTGAGGTGAACTACGTGCAGAACCAAGGATATTTCAACAGAGGATTCAACTAGAATTACAGAAATCATCCCAGCCTGTCCTTCAGAAGTCCCAATGTTGAAAATCCTCAAGATCAAGTTTACCCACAACAAGCAGGTGTGCAAAATCAGGGTCTGCAGTATCAGCAGAAACCATTCGTGCAAAACCAAGGTGTCAGCATTTTCTCTAAGGGATTTCAGGGCCAGACAAACATGCAGAATCAGGGACAGCACAACTTTCAGAATCAGAACAGCTCTAATCTAGCTACACAAGAGTCTAAACTTGAATTGATGATGCAGCAAGTCATGATTAATCAGCAGACGACTGCAAAGGAGATCCATGTTAAGGTAGATGGGATGTATCATGATCTCAGCAATAAAATTGAGAATATCGATAACAAGTATGAGTCCCTTGCCACTCATGTGAAGAAGCTTGACATACAGGTAGCACAGATTCCAGATGCTATTAAAAGACAATCTGGAAATCTTCCTGGAAAGCCAGAGATAAATCCAAGAGAGCATTGCAACACTGTAATGGTTTATGATAAGATGGTGACAACACCTGAGTTGATGGATGAGGAAAGGGCACATGATGTTGTAGTAGAAGAGGAGTGCACTCCTGTCACGCCACAAGTATATGTCCCTAAGGTCCCATATCCTAAAACCCCCAAACATCTCAGGAATTCCATTACGGCAGAGAAGCTGAGTGATTTTGAGAAGATGGTGAGGAGAATTCCCCATGAGATGTCATCTGAAGAAGCATGGGAGAACAGGCCTTTGTATATTCTTCGAGAATTGCAGAGAAACTCTAGAAGAGATTAAGGCCCTCTTTATCAGGGCAAGAAGCACACCACCACCATTGAAAAAGTTGAATAAGATTGAAGACCCTGGAAAGTTTGCTGTTCCATGCTCCATCTCTGGAGTTGAGTTCAAAGAATCTCTTGTTGATTCTGGGTCCAGTGTGAATCTAATGTCAAAACTTGTCGCTGAGAGGTTGGGAATTGTTGATACATGTATAAGACACCTTCAGATGACTCTTGCATTTGCGAATTCTTCTACCACAACTTCATATGATACTATCCCTGATTTGCTTTTTAAAATTGGAGATGGTTTGGTTCCTACTGATTTTCAGGTTGTAGAGATGATCGAAGGATCAGAAATGCCTTTAATCCTTGGACGACCATTCATGGCCACAGTGGGTGCAATTATAGACATGCCTAGTAAGAGAATCTCATTCTCTAACATTGACAAGAAGGTATTCTACAAAGCTATCCCCACTAAATGTCTCTTGCATTAGTGTTATCATGGGAGAAACATTGGTGGTTGATCCTTGGAAAGAGATTTATGAAGAGAATGAAGTCAGGAATGTTTTAGATGTTCCCTCTATCATCACCAAGGAAGTCATCAAAAAGTCTAAGGCAGAGGGGAAGATGAAGGATAAAAGAGTAAAGGGAAACTCTCATATGACCTTGATCCCTCAGAAATGTGATGGAGATTTGATTGAGTATGAGGTGAAGTGCAAAGGAAACTCAAAGCCATTCTCTAAGGTTAGAAATATTCTCACTTCGGAGCTTAAAAGGAAAGGAAAAGATGTTGTGAAGGGTATCATGCGCAGAATTCGAAGCTAGAGATGTCTGAATGTGGAGCTTGTTTTGGGGCAAGTTCACATGCTTATCCTGAATGATACCTGAGCCAAAGTCAAGCTAGGGACTTTAAACAAGCGCTTGGTGGGAGGCAACCCACCGGTAAGAATACATATTTTTATTTTCTTTTTGTTATTACTAACTCTTTTAAATTTTGTTTTGAGTCCAAGTGTTTCAGGTTCTCAACAAAAAAAAACAAAAAAAAAATGGGAGAAGGATCCTCTTCTACCTGATCGATCATGTCTGGTAAGTTTTCTTTTGCTTTCTTTTCTTTCTTTGAGTCTATTTATGCCTTCTTTCTGGTTTATTTTCACATCGGGACGGTGTGATTTAAGTCTGGGGGAGGGTTTTTGTTGTTTACTAACGTTATTTTCTTTTTTTTTTGTTTCCTTTTTCTTGAGTCATTTTGATGTTTTATTGAGTCAAAAATTTGTTGGAGATTATGATCTTTTTCTTGGGATTATTGTTCTGATTTCTTGGCTGAGTGACCATTATTGCAGGATTAGCTTTGGATTAGACTAATGAAAAATCCAAAAGTTGACCAGCTAATCAGAGACACCCATGTTTCCAGAAGAATTTAGAAAGCCTGAGCTAATTTCTGAGCTCTTCCTTTTACCTCATCGATGTGACTGATGTTCAAAAGGCTTGACTCCTCATTCACACCTGACAAACAAGGACCTATGTGGTGAAAAGATTAGTACTCCTCTCCCTTATTCTAAGCATTAACTAAAGCACAAAAGATGACTCTCGTGTTCGCTCCAAACTCTCGTGTTTAGACCCGATCCAATTGTCCTCCTCAAGCCTATATTCAGGAATGGTTTTGCAGCCATGATACTCCACCACCCATAAGATGGTGAATAAACATTTCGGTCCTCTAACAGATCAGATTGTCTGTAATACCTACCTCTTAGAACCCGAGCCAAGAGAGATGAGGGGTACTGAATAAGTCGCCATAGCTGTTTGATATGTCTATATTTTGCATCATTTAGGCTGCATTTTAGAGTCCAAATCATGTGTTTTCTCGGTCATTTTAGGTTTTTAGGAATCAAAGTAGGCTTTAGGATTTGCATTAGGTCCCAAAGAGTTTTGCATAGTTTGAAGTCTCTATCAGGTGTTTTGGAGGACATTTGGAGCTCAAGAGGAGGATCAGAAGTGGAAACGGTGAAGAAAAGGGTCAAAAATGGTGAAAACCGCTTGGAGGAATTTCTCGGCGAAAACTCGTACCGGCTGGATCAGAACATCGGCAAGAATCGCTATCGGGTGGTCCGTACCGGCTAAAAATCATTACCGGGTGAAAATTCATCGGGTGAAATTTTATGCCGATGCGAAGAGTTTTTATCGGCTAAAAATCTTACCGCGCTACATGTTTCTCGGACATTTTCCTTTCCACGGGAAGCATTTATCTGCTAAAATTCATTTTCACCCGCGCGCCTCAAAGATCACAAATCCGGGGAATCTTCCAGTCCGAATCAGTTGACGGGGTCTTCATAAAAGTTGGAGATAATCAATCCAAGATCCCAGAACAGTTAGAATCATGTAATTCGGACCTGTGAGTAGAGAGATATCGCCTCCGGAAGACACGCCTGTCCCGCATGCATCCAAAAGCCGATCAGATGGGTTTCAAAGATTACGTGAAAGAATGTCCTTCCAGCCCGAATCAGCTTACAGAGCCTTCATCAATATTAAATATCTATGAATTCTTTTTCCGGAACACCTGAGGTCTCCCAATTCGGCACAGCGGTTTGAAAGATATCGCCTCCGGAGTAGACATTGGTCTAAAAGCTGATTTTTCCGGTCATTTCAATGCCGTGCAAAGATGAGCAATCCGGGAAGCCTTCCACTTTCCAAGCTCTGATGGTTCCTTCACCAAAGTTTGAGCTGAATGAGTTATCTTGACTATGGAACTGGTTTCACAGCATTTTGAGTCATGTACTAAAAGTTATTGCTTCCGGAAGACGAGTTGGTCACTACGAGCCCAAAGGAGTTGCGATAAGCGCTAAGTGTTTTTACAAACCTCGGCGTCGCTGCCTCGGCATTGCTTAGGCCGAGGCTCATCCCCTGAAAGCTTTTTGGACTAGACCTCGTACTAACTCCTCGGTATATCAAGATCGAGGCATGCATGCAAAAGGAGTGGAGCTGAAAATGACTAAGTGTTGAACGTGAACCTCGGTATAAAGACCTCGACATTGCATGCCGGACTCCATCTTCCCGAACCCCTCGACTACCAAGCACCTCTGCATCACATGCCTAGGTCCCTTTTCACGAACCAAGATTCAAGATCAAGTTGACTCGGAGGACGCACATGAAGATGGATTGAAGACTAGGGTTTATGCATGTTCTTGACGTGTTCTTCATGAGATCTCCATCTTGATCTTTGCTCACGTGCACCCCTCGGCATCAAGACCTCGGCTTCTGATGTCGTGTCAACTGCATGAGGGAACAAGTTTTACCCTTAACAAAACAAATGAAAGCCGCAAGTGCACAGCTACTCAGTTGTAGTATTTAGGGATCGAATCCACAGAGATTTGTGTGCCTGGTGTTCTTCTACGGTTTTTAACTTTATGTCTAGACTAAATTGGTTTTTAAAAGTTGGTTGTTTGTCACGAATGAAACTAAAACAAGAGAAAGCAAATAAATCTATCCTAGAAAGCAAGTATAGAAATCGAATGAAAGGCTAATAAAGCAAGTAAAATATTGAATGAAAGACTAGTAAAGCAAGTAAAATATCGAACTAAGGGAATTGAAATGCAGGTTTAAGTAAGCAAATAAAATCGATGGAATTGTAAACTATGGCTAAAAACGCTGAGCTTTTGGGAACTCTAAGGGATCATAATCGGTTTTAACACTAGGGTAGATAGATTAGGATTGACGGATATCGATATATAGGGGTTCTAGAGCTAGAGTACGGCGGTATGACTACGTCACTGTCGTGATCATAACCAACTGTTTCTCGCAACCCTGACCAGTAGGTTTCCACTCTGGCCCTGGAAGGGAGAGAACGCAAGAGCTGCACAAGACTCGTCAATACTCATGATCTCGCCGCAGGTAGGTTTCCACTCCTACGGAAAAATTGCCTGTTTCATTCTAGGGCTGATACTTAATGAAAACTTTCGCAACTCTAACTATCTAGATCAGATACTAGGTGATCAATCAAGCATACATGCAATAAGAACAAGAATAAATAGAGAACAGGTCGAAATCCCAGATCTATAAACCTAGATGTCTTAATCGATTATGAGAGCCCCTTTCGGGAACCCTAAGCCCAACTCGGGATCTACTCAGACATGGCTGAGGTCGACATCATCATCGGTTTTAATAAAAGTAATGAAAAACAGCAAAGAAAAGAGATAAAGAAAGCTTTTCTATTGAAGAACTCGGACTTGAACAATCTTCTACAAAAATCTCATAAAAACGGCTAAAGGAAAAGGGTTTCTGTAAAGTATGAAGGGTTGTGTCTAAAAACGACCTAAATGACATGTATTTATAGTCTCCAATACTCCATGGTCTCTAGGGTTCCGGAATTGAGGCTGAGAATGACTTTGGGCTTCAGATATGTGGGCTTTAGTTCGGAGCTTGATGGCCGCAGTTGGGAGAGACGTGACCACGGGGATTGAGTGGTTGGCCGCGGTCAGGAAGCTTCTGACTGCGGGAAATAGGTTGTTGGTCGCGGTCGCGTGCTTTGCTGGCCATCTTCGAGTGGCTCCGGGGCTAATGGAATATCTTGAGATCCAACCGTTGGAATGTCTCCAAACCAAGTGAATTTGAAAGCTGGTTGATTCTTCTATAAGTTGTCCAATTTTGAGGGTGATCAGACGGTGAGAAGGTCTTCGTCTCTCCATGAGAGTTCTGACGGTCTGCATTTATCCAAAAGAGTCTTTTTGTTCCATTTTGTGCCTCTTTATCCCAAATTACCTGAAAAGTATTTTAAAATCCGGAAACATAGAAATCCTTTGAAAACCTTTGAAAATGGAGTAAAAACACCTGTAAAAGATTTTAAAGTGATCCATAAAAATGGTCAAAATCCGGTGTTATCAGCTTCACTCTCTCACACACCATGGTGCTCACCTGACGACCCAAGAAGAGCGTTCAGTACCCGGTTTGTTCTGGGCTGACCCGCGACACTTACCCTTCACTATAAATAGATTTTAGGACCAGAAACCTAATCTTCTTTTATCTTATCTCATTTCCTGCCTGTTTTAGCTTTAAGAACTTGCCTCTTTTGTGAAACTTGATTAGTCTAATCCGATATCTCGTTTTCACGTGAGAATCTTGTTCTTGTTTATTTATTTTATTTACCAGCATCAAACTCCTTATCATGACTAGCTACACGTCTTGCAAAGGATTTAGTGAGCTCGTTATGACCAGTGAGTAGTCCATTTAAGAGGCTTTAGATAGGTAGATTAGGGTGCTTTCATGATAGATTAGCGAGTTTAGGGGTCTAGTCTTGCATGTTTCATTCTTTAACCGACGAGATCTCTAAGCTGGATCCAAGCACATCACTTGCGGTTCAGATCTGAGACATATCTCGCATCAAAAGTGTTCGTAGAAATTTCTGAACCAATCAGTTAGAGGTTTAAGAGTCTTTCATCGCGAGAGTGATAGTTTGACCTTCTTAAATGACTTATTGAACTGGATCTTAAAGCTGACTGATTCA